CGAATGTTTGTGCGCGCGTTTATACAATATAACGTCACGCACATACCACGCCCTCGTTTATTTCTTTTGTTCCACGCGATAGCAAGGGGTGACGCTTTATGCTATTAGGTATATAACGTGTACAACCGTGACCTTACCGCTTTTACCCTGCAGCCGCAGTTTCTTTTGACTGCTCTTTACCTATTGCGTGGACAGAAAAGTGCACCTGATACTTTTTGAAAAGGCGATATATTTTTTGAAAACTAACTGTAAAAAATTCACTTCGCCAAGTTAATGAATAACGAAAAAGTTTAACTAAATATTTCTTACGAAAAGGGATAGGGGAAAGAACAAACATTAATATACACACGTATTTGGCATGTTTAATCATTTTTTTTATTACATGAGACGAGGACATTACATGGATGATCCGGGGATATTCTCTGATATATCATAATTATTTGCATATATATTTCTATAGTAAACATGAACAGTAATAAATACATATATATGAATATATGTGAACATAAGATTTTTGTATATAATTGTATAGGAGGTTTTTTGATGATATAATGGTGGTGACGAGACTGCGTTCATTTAAAATATAGAGCATCTATTCAATATGGCATCCCCGGTTACTTTAGCTTTCAGCAAACATAATATTATCATATGCACTATTTTTGGTACTTTCTATCTTCGCACTCGATAGCCACTTTCTATCATTTTAAATTCTTCTCAATTTATTACTATTCCTTTTAAATTTTTATTTGCAATGACTCAGGTCATGTGATTATACACGATATTTGTTTTGTACATTGAAAATTGTAAATTAATTTTCAACACAATGGTAATTTTGATAGTACACGTTCAACAACAAGAAAATATTTTCATCACTTATCCCTTTGGATATACTACCTAAAGCCATATTTCTTTCAATCTGTGCAGTATAACATGTTAATTGAATTTAATCTCCTAAAATCTAAAATAATATACAATCATCTTTTCGATTAAAAATTGCAAGATTCCTTTCTGTGCTTGAAGCCGATATACATATATGTATTAACATGTTATTAGAAGCATTTTTTTGATTTGGGACATAATTATAGGCATATAATATTTAAATAACTGACTGATTCAAGCGAATGAATTTTCAACAAATCGCTCAAGTTAGTTTTATTTTTGATATTTTAATTACGAATAACTTATAATTTCTTTTTACTCTTTCATAATTTTTTTACATCGTGCTAAAACCTGAATATAATTACAATTCATTATTTAATTTAATGAAATTACACATTTTTGTACAATCAGATTTCCATCATTGCTTATTTACATTCTCGCGACACATTCCTTGATATCTGCATTTCCATAATACTATGTGCAATTTACATCAAAACCTATCAAAGAAAACTGTAATAAGCTTTGTATAATAAAATTAAAATTTAGTAATTATTATGATACGGTTTTACTGATAATGAATCGCAGCCGACATGAAATGGACATGATTGCGCATGATTCAATTTTTCTCAGAATTTCTTCAGTGTTCTTGAAGAAATTTCAAACATTTTAAAATCCGTTGGCATATTCGTACTCTTTCTTTACAATGAAGATGAAGATATAGTAATTCGCTAGACTGAAATTCTTACGATGATAATACTAGCTAATATTATCTATTAGTCATATTCAATGACTTTTTGATGATTATTTATCATTTCTTAGTTGTATAGACGTTTAGCATTCATATTTTTTAATGAGAAATAAGTATCAAATTTGCCGAGAGTCCTAAGAATCGATTATATTGTCAGCATCTCGTTCGGTCGAAAGAAATTTTCACTCTGATCTGTTTGAATTCACGCATTCATTTTAATATGCTGTGAACAAACAATCCACTTTTCCAGTCCAGAACGAAAACTTCATTTCTTATCAAAACATTATGCATGAGTTTTCGATTTATGACTTACCAGCGGCAAAAAGCGTGGTAAATTATTTAGTATTAACATTATGAGTTCAATGTTTCTATGCTCCATTAAATACGCAAAAAAATAAAAGTATTACCTAATTTCAAGCATGATATCCTTGAACATGTTTGTATCACTGCACTCAAACGATGCAAATTAATTTATGTCATGCTCTATATTGAAACATGAGCTTTATTTAAGTGTAAATATATAATAATTACCCTGCTTGAATTGATCAAAAACTGAGTATCCTGTAAACTATACATATGATTTCGCAATTTATCATACGGTAAAATATATTTAAAATTATGAGTACAGTTATGAATTATTTGGATTCTTGATTTAACTATTCCTGACCTAGTGAAAATTCTCAGCATTTTAAGGCTAGCTTTTGCACAGCAAAAAAGTTTCTTGGACATAAAAGAACAGCAGATAAAAGTAGTCAACTACAGAAGATAATGTTGAGTCTCAATCGAACACTCGAAGAGAAAGGACGTGTGTTCAACACGCGTTAGCAAAATATAAACACAAAAGCCCTAATTTCCGAATTTTTAAATACAGCAAATAAAGTTCCAAGGCCTACAATGGAAAGTAGAATTAATGTTGAATTTTAAAACCATGTTTTAATTTATAAAATTATGTTTATGTTACCCCTTGCAGATTTCTAGATGCAGGTACTCGCCATCTAGTGGTGATTTGGAAACAATAAAATGTTTATTTCAAATTCGTTTTATACTTGTAACATAACTGAAACCAGAAATATTCCTTAAACAAGCCAATTTATGTTACTGTATTTTCAATCTTTGTAAGTCATAATTAATGTTGAGAATAATTACCAGGCTCGAGCTGATTCTAAACTATAATTCGTTAATTTATTTAATAGATAATTTTTAGTCAGAATACTTTTGAAATTAAAAACGATTCAAGTGTTAGTAGAATTATTGCATTTTTATAAAATTTTGAAAATTTATCATGCCCTATAGTGAACTATGAAGTGTATAATCTTGATTCAAATGATTCTTGCGTAATAATAGGTAAGGTATTGTACAAGAACCCTCTACTCAACGTACATTTTTTAATATTTTATCACCTATAGATTTTTCAAGTATTTTTTTTACTTTAAATTTATACTCCTTGCCACCAATGTACTAATAATCACATGTAAACTTTATACCGAGGCCTCCGACATTTGTGTAAACGATCGCTGTATTTAAAATGATCATTTGTTTCAAGTTATAAAATTTACTTAGTATGTCAATTTGACGTATCGAGTAAAAGCTTTCTGGCATTATTTGGTCCGATAGAATACGGTGTCTTTTATTCATTTCTATATCTCTAATGTAAATCTAAATTAATCTTTCAAATTATCATAATCGTTTCAGTTTTTTTATCATTGTCATATAAATTCTTATAATGTTTAAAATTCATGAATTGTAATTGTCAGTTGCTTTTTGGCTTTTAACGTCACGTAGCGTTTTTGTTGTTTCTTTAATAACAAGTTTTATCGGTGGTTATAAAAAACTGTAGCAATTAAATTTGCTTTCGGCAGTGAAATATTGTATCGAATCGATTTGATGTTTGCTTTGGAATTTTTAAAACTTGTCCATTAATTTTTTTTAATACTGTTTTAAGTATATTGCTGCATAGCATGTTGATTATTTATCAATGTAGTATAAATATATGAAATTGTTCAAAAATCATGTGAAGAATTTTTTATAAAAGTTTCACTACCAGAGTAGCCTCAATCGCTAGTAAATCGCTACAATTAATGATTATAAGCGAATCATTTCGAGTTTTATTATTAATGTCATGGTTTTGGTAACTTTTGGCTTATTTAATCTCTAGTGGATTAATGCCATACGTGTTTATGTTGTTGAATCAAAAGTCTTTCGGCAATATATAGGCGTTTTTACGTTGTACAAAAACTTGGATTTGTTTTAAAATGCACTTTATGCATCTGCGTTGAGCAAAATGTTACTTCTATTGAGATTTTGAAACCTCGATTTTATTAGATTAATCATTTAGGTTTCGAGGTTGCGATTTTAAAATAAATTTAATTCGTTCTAAAACAATGAAATATTTTCAGGAAAATTCAGTGATAAAGTAACCGAAACATTAATATTATGCTAAAAATAACATTGTGAACTATAAAATTATAACATTAAGAAATTCATACGATCATGCACTTGTATTAATTTTAATCGCGTTGAATTTTTACGAAATCTTTTAAACAACTATAATTCTCTAATTAATATTACGACCAAACTAAGCGTACATTTTTTATGTATAAATATATTAATTTAACTTAAAAATTTAAAAACACTTACACTAGTTAATTGAATTTTAAGGTAACAAAAGTTTAGCAACCTTTAACTCGATCTATCTTTCGAATATCTATTTAGGTAATTTTCCTAAATTGATTTAATGCAACACATTTTCGTTTGAGAATTAGTAAATAATTCGATTACCATTGTCGTTGAATTATTTGGCATTTTAATCATTGGAACTATAGATAAGTCACAACGTTATAACTTAACGAATCAAGCTAAATCGATTTGAATATAAAATATCTATTACTAAACTTACCCTTTACATCATAAGATGTGAATGCTTGAAACGTACAGCTGCGCATGAACTAGTCTTTGTATAATAGTATCGAACCAATTTTATCTGAAAAAACTCTCATACCTTTGTAAGAATTACTTATTTCATATTACATAACTACAGTTGCATCAGTCATAAGAAGAGAAAGCCCTTAGATTTATATTATTATGTAGCAATCAAAAATCAAATCTAAAATTCTGACCTAAAGGAAAAAGCATCCTTTTTTAATTCCATTAATAATCTATATCGAATGTATTTATTATAAATGACGTTCATCACATTTTTGCTATTCATAAAAAATACCACAAGAAAAAAAAATTCTTAAATGAAAAAATTAAAGCAAAATAATAGAAAATATCTTTATTTCATTTATATAATAACTATTATATAATAGAATAAACATAAGAATTTTAAACGATAAAAATAAATATGTTTTCGTTAAAAAATATAATTCACGAGTCTTGTCACAGCTTTGTGCCATCACGTATTAACGCGTAAGTTTTAACATTTTGTCCGTCCAGGACTTGTCATCACAACACGGTAGCTCCGTTTATAATTTATATTTACAACATTTACGGTCAAATATATAACACGAGAGCTTGAAAAATGAGCGTGGAAATGAGGCAAAATTAAAGCACTAGAAATCATGTTGATTATATGCGCGGAGAATATTCTTGTTGGATTAGAGCTCTTCGGTCAGTGCGATGGGTGCTCTCGAGCCAGCCTTCATGTCTTTAACTCCTATGCTAATGTCATCGACGGGAACCGCAGAGGAGATTTTATTTTGATTTCCATTGAGTTTGATCTCGTTCACAGAGTGAGAGCGTCCGTGAGTCGCCAGTAGCTTGACCGAGTTCGAAATCGCACTGGGCCGGGAGTTGGCATTTACACCGGAGTGAGAGTTGTTGGGGTTCTTGACTGCTGAAGTTTTGTGATGAGGACTTGCGTGACGATAATTATTCGGTGGATGAGGTGGAGGGTCCATATTGGAGTTGACGATAAATGGATTGGAGATGGTCTTGGATCGACTTTTTGGCCTAGGATTAGTGCTGGTGTGGTAGTGATTTTTATTCGATTCGTTGATGTGGTTGTCGTACGTAGGTTTTCCTTCCCTCGAAGGCGAGTTCATGACTTTGCTAGGACTTGACATGGCCAAGGTTGCTAATTGGTTAGCCGATTGTGAACGTACTGCTTGTTGAGTGCCAAATTTATCCTTTAATGCAATTTGGTAGGCTACTTCGAATGCCTGACCCAGAGTTAAAATTATTTCGGTTGCTTGGTCCTAAAAGAGTAAGTTTCGGATTAGCACAAAAAAGTCAAGCTAATATGAATTATTGAGGAAAGTATTTTAAAAATAACTACCATTGTTGGCACACAGAAAACGTGACAGAAATGTGTTTGACTGGCGTGGTCTTTGGTTATGTAAGCGAAATGAGTGAGGTCGTCGGCGTCTTGACAAGCGCAATGAATGTTTCGAATTTCGTGTTCACAAATGGGTTCCTAAAAAAATTCAGACAGTTTTATTAACAGTTTATTTCATATTCAAATTGAATCAAATTTAAAGCTTTTATTAATTACATCGGTCAACGTGTTCAGGAAACGAACGCCTCGAAATGATATCGACAACGTAATATCTGGTGTGCAGCGTGGATCCCTTCCGACTTTTTTCAATTTTTGTATAGACTTCAGGCTCGATTCCGTTCCTCTCAATTCTTTTACTATCGTCGAGCCCAAATACTGCAATTAAATTTTGTTTTTTATTTTTCTGAAAAATTTTACACCATAGTAATTATATTTTTTTCAATATTACGTTAGCAACGTAGATGACGTTCCCAGTGACTAGATCCTTTGGTTGGTGTCTCCATTGAGTTTTGAGAGTCGAGGGTACGCCAAATAACAATTCCGACGGTCCTCTTATCTCGAGATTCTCGGTCGGTTGTGCAGTGCCATTTTGCGTATTGACATTAGGCTTCTGCGGTGGAGGCGGCGCCGGCCTGTTTTTACGAGCTTTCAGAGTACCCGTGGTATTTGCATTCGTGCCGATAACTTGAGCCGAACTCGAAGTCGGTGTCGACGCTGCGCTTGTACGAGACGCAGCAGGCAGTCCGTTGCTATTTTGTGGATGTTCCGGCATTTTTTCTCGAATCTCGCTTTTCAGCTGCTGAATATTTGATTTCTGTAAAAATAATTTTTTATAAAGTACTAAAATTATACCGCTCGATAAGAAATCGAAAAGGATTAGTCGTTGTTTCAATTATGATGAGTCATTTTTTTTCCAGTATATAATAAGCTAAACGCATGCACGTACACGTGCAGCAGTAGCTGTTTTTAAATTAAAAAAAATTCCAACGAAAGGCTCGACTTTTCCAGAGTCAGTTGGCATTCGAAAGTGTACTTGTGAAGGGTAGAGACGACGAGTTTCGACTCTACACATGCACGATGGATAACACAATTCATCGGGAACAAACGACTAGACATGTCTAATTGAATGAGGGCGTAAAAACAACTCTTAATTAAGCATCAAAGAGCGAGAGAAGCGAGAAAGGAAAAAAAAGAAAAACGTGGTAAAAAGGTAGAAGAAAAAAAAAGACACGAGCTGGTATACATATATAGCCGCTCTGCTAGAGCTAGGAAACTACGAGCGCCAGCAGCAGCAGCAGTGCACGATTCGCAGGTGGATCGTTCGATAAAGCGAACACGGAAAGAGACGACGACGACGACGAGAACGGGCGGAGGCGAGCCGACGGAGTGTACCATCACGCGCAATTATCGCGAGTTGCGCGCGCTTACAAAAAGAAGCGAAAACTTACTAAGCCAATTACGGGGTGTAGACGCGCGCGAGCGAACGAAACGTACGGAGCAGCACGACGACGAAGAGCAGCTCGTGGCAAAGAATGCAGAGTGAGAAAGAGAGACACACTGGGCGCAGGTGAAGCGTAAGGATGACTGCCACCGTCGCCGCCGCCACCACCTCATGCCGCAGCAGCAGCAGGTGGAGAAAATGAAAAAGAGGAAAAAAAGTTGGCCCCGAACAAAAGTGAGCGTGCACGAACGGGCCGACTGAAAGGCTCGAATGTCGAGCACCGCTGCCGCTGATATACTTGCTCTTTTTTTGCCTATACCCTACATATAGATGGATAACGCGTCGATGATGCTACGTCGCGGCCGCCAATTAGACGCGATGTTATTTGTATATATCCGTATGTATCGAAGCTGTCTGCGATCGGGCCGCGAGCGAGACGCGACAAGTTGTAGGCTGCAGCAGCACACCCACACACATTCATATACACCTGCAGTCTCCGAGCGCGTTATACTATGCTCTGTATATATAGGTAAGCGCGAGAACACGACGAGCAGCTGTCAAGTGTGTATGTACGAGAGAGAAAGCTAGGCTGCGCATTCGTTTCTCGCAATTCATGTGCACGTTATACGTCTCTATTCAAGCTCCGTGGCTATATAGGTTTGCACCCTTCAGACATATCGATGATGCTGCTGCACGACGTGTAAAATAATTCATTGTTGTTCGATGCTGCTGCTGCTGCCTATTCACTCGACACGATACGCTCTAATGAAGTGACGCGCCCCGGTTTGATACACCCTTTTGATGAGGCTTGCTTGCTTGCGCGTACGTATGTATGTGCGTATGGATTTCGGGCAAGCGATTGTTTGTGCGTGATACCGACGATATTAGTACCGGTCATCGAAGCTATTGATCCGAGACCGAATGAAGTTATTCTGTACAATAAGTAACGCGACATATTTTGAAACGAGCACCGAGAAAATTCGATTCATATAATGTGTGGATGATTATACGTACCAATGCGTTCAGGTCCTTGTTGAGATCGTTCAAGCTGGGCCCGTTGCCGTTGTTGCGCGCGTTGTTGTGGGCCGAAGAAGAAGTAGAACGCGTCTGTGCGCCGCTGCTGCCATTGCTACCGCCGCTACTGTTGCTAGTAGTCCCGCCGTTGACCGAAGCCAGGATGCGTTTGCGATGGGCGATCTTCTGGATTTCTAGCACGGCCGCGAGCTCCACCTCCCAGACTCGGCGCACCTTGTCCATGTCCGTGTAGAGGTGTCGCCTGAAGAGCTCTGCGTAGCTCTCCAAGTGTATCGATTTCAGCCAGTCGTCCACGGTCTGCGCGACGTTTGAGCCTGTGCGCGCCTCCACGCGATTGTTCAGCTGCGCCGCCGCTTCCATGATCGCCGCGCGATCGTTCTCGCTGTTGATGCCCATCTCGTCGAGGTCCGATTCTTCGATGACGCCGTTCTGTAGAAAGAAAGAAAGTTCATTGAATGGCGTGGATCTATATTTGTCAGCGTATAATATAATATATAAGTCGACGCGCGCTGAATTTTGGTTAAAAATGGCTCGAAGTGGCGGATACGATGCCGCGCGCACGAGCCTCGACTAAAGATAGATCGTTGTACGCGATATGACGAATCAATTTCGTATCGTACTATACTCAAGTGCTTGAAAGCATCTCTCATGATACTCACGATGAATTCCAAATCGTCAAAGCCGTAGTTTATGAAGGCCGATTCGTAGTCTGCCAAGTTTAATTTCGACAACCATTGGCCCACCAACGTCATTACGCAGGGACTGTCTGTGTCGGAGTTGAAGCCTGTTTGAAGAAATAAAAAATGTATCATTGTATTTACGAGATAACAAACTTGAGTGTTTTTACTCGATGCACTCGACTTACTGAGCCTACTTTGAAACTCTCGCTCGAGTTCGGTAACGAAAACGGATTCTCGAACGAGACTAGTGCCGAAGGTCGCCATGATCTCGGATATCTTGGCCCACTCCTCCTGCTCGTCGAAGGGACTCATGAGGGCGAGGGACTTGTCGTCTTGCGACTGCTGCTGATGGTCCCGGTCGGACGCGTCGCCGTTACCGCCACTGCCACCGTTGGTGGTGGCCGCCTCGTCGCGTTTGTTACGATGATGATGATGGTGGTTATTCATCGCGTCGTGATCTCGCTGATGATCGTTGTTGCCGGCCAGGATGTCGGCCCCGGTGCCCATGACCCCGCAGCCGCCTTCCCCGGCCGGCGAGTAGACGTTGCGTAATCGACGCAGCGTGCGTGGACGCTCCGCCGTCGAGATCGAGCCTTTCAGGAGGCCTGAAATTATACAAACAAAAAGATACGTGCTTGAACGATCGTTTCTCATATATAACAGCCCGTGATCTTATCACTCCGATGATGGGCATAAATAGTTTGAAAATGGCACAAAGATAGGAAAACCATTCGTAGTTGCATAAAATTCATATACACACGCACAGATATCGTGCGCGCGTCAAAGTACAGTTGCATACACACGTGTATAACGAATGTACACGTATGGGCAGTTCACGGCCGTTCTCGCACTCGAGTATCGCATGCAGTACGGGGGGGGGGGGGCAACGNGGGGGGGGGGGGGGGCAACGCAGCGCACAAGTATGGATATGCGAGCGCAAATATAAATGTGTGTGTATTCGTACGTACATAGTTGAAACAAGGTGCATATATACCGCAGTGAGCTCGAATACTGTCGGCAAACTCAAACGAACTCCGCTGCACATACATATCCTACACATACTGCAGATATGCGGCGAATATGTAAGGTATACATACGTACATATCATACCGAGTTCGACGGGCTAAAGCGCAGGTCTTGCCGAGGAGTCCCTCAAGGATCCGTTCTCAGTCCCCTGTTATACGCAATCTACGTCGCATCTGTGACTGAGGGCTTGCCCGACTGCGTGCATGTCTCGCAATTCGCCGACGATCTGGCTATCTTCACCGTCTCAGGCGACTCGGACAGCTGTATCACCACTCTGGAACACTCAATCTCGACCCTCGACCGGAACTTGGGTGGGCTCGGTCTCAGGATCGCCCCCTCCAAAACAAACTTCATTCATTTCAATAGGAAAAAAATCGCTCCAGGAAACAGACAGATCAACGTTGGCGGCTTGGCCGTCAAATCTAGCAACAACATCAGATTTCTGGGCGTCATACTCGATTATGAGCTCTCCTTCAAAGCACAAACCAACAACGTTCACGCAAAGTGCAGCTCATCACTCAACATCATCAAATTTTTGCGTGGAACTTGGTGGGGGTCGCACCCCGATACTCTGATGATCCTGTACAAATGCTTTATTCGATCAATTATCGATTACGCACTGTTCGTGTATTTACCAACCACCTCACATCTCCTGCAGAAGCTAGAAAAAATCCAATTTGCAGCCATCAGACTAGCCCTCGGATATCGTCAAAGCACGCCCACGAACATCCTCCTCGCGGAGTCGAAACTGCCTTCGATACAAGAGCGCGCGAGGCTCATGGGGCGAGTGTACACGGCTAAAATTTTGAGCAACTCAGGCTCCGAGATATTCACCTCCATCACCCAATTCACAAATTTTCTACGCCACCACAACTCAAACAGAATTTTCTCTCAGTGCATACTCTCTTTCACGAACTCAGACCACACCTTATACTCTGGCAACAACTTCAATCTATACAACCACAGCTTTCACTCTCTTTATTACACGATCCCCACCAATTTCGCAATAGGACAAAGCGCAAAAAATAGCCCAAACCCAAATCTCATCATCGAGGAATTCATCAACAATAATCATCTCACCCCCATTTTCACCGACGGCAGCAAGATTCCAGGGGCGCCTGGCGTGGGATGTGCTTTCTACTGCCCAGAGGACGACCATCACTCCTCCAGAACCCTGAGCCCCCTCGCGTCGATCTTCTCCGCCGAGTGCCACGCAATTAACGACGCACTAGACTACATCACCCACCTGGCGGACGACAGGAAATATATCATCATGAGCGACTCTCTCAGCGCTCTCATTAGTCTACAAGCTTCGAACATCAGCGTCAAAACCAACCACGTCATCCTGGATATAAAAGAGAGGTTTACCGCTCTACCCCATGGATCGGTGAGTCTCGCCTGGATACCCTCTCACATCGGCATCGAGGGCAACGAGGCGGTGGACGCTCTGGCCAGAGCTGCCACTGTTTCTCCACCAGCAGCCTCGCCCCCTGTAAACTTCACAGATCTCGCAGAGTCGTTCAGGCGCGACTGCTTCTCCAACACGATCGCCAAGTGCGAGGCCGACGGTCTGCACAAGGGCAAAATCTACTTCGACCTCTTCCACCGCCACGACAAGTCGACTCCATGGTTCACAGGCAAGAATCTACCACGTTCGATGATTGTAACCATAAACCGAATACGCAGTAACCACCACAGCCTGGCCGAGTCCCTGCACAGAAAGAACATCATTTCCGACCCAGGATGTGCTTGCGGCTCGGGGGAGGAGAGCCTGAACCACGTCCTCTGGAACTGCGGGAGGTTCGAACGTCAGAGACGCGCCTTGTGGACGGAGCTGGCGCGACTCGGCCTCTCTGCTCCGTTGAACGCCGAAAGCATAGTAGCCAGGCCAAACTTGTCCGCGTGCTTGGCACTCCATCGCTTCCTCCAAAACTGCAACCTTCAAGTTTGACCAGCGACTGCAACTTCAGACCTAGCCCGGCGAACCCATCGACTCTCACCCCCACCCCATTTTCACTCGTACCACACCAATGTTATTTTAATCTCACTCTTTGCCAACCTCCAAACTCAATATGTACTCCTCAATTATTATTCTCCGTTTCTGTCTTTTCACTTTTTACTGTAATAGCACACTCAATCTCAATGTAAAATTCCACTATTTGTATATTTTCTGTCTTTTAAAAATAAAGTAAGTGCGCATACCCCTCGCTGGGTCCATGCACTATAATATAAAAAAAAAAAAAAAACATACGTACATATATAAATGCGGCGAAAGCTGCTGTATGGACGCTCGCGCCGCAACGAGAGGTTCGGGCGCGCGCGGGGGTATGTTCGACGTTGTGCACTTACGCAAATGCGTATGTATGTATAATGTACGTATGTGTGTACAGAGAACAGTTGTTGGAGTTACCTCGCGCGCGCGCGCACACAGATACGTATACTTCGTGATCATATGGATGTACGTCGGTGCATACGAAGCGCATCCTAGAAGAGTATAGGATTCACGTTGCATATTCAGGGAGGGCCGAGCCGCGTACATATACATCGTTATGCTCGCTGCGCGTATATCCGTGTGCAGCGGTCAGTCGCCGAATTGCTTCTGCGTGGCATATAACATATAGAGCTTGTAACTCGTACGAATTGCCTTTCGATGTATACCTATGCGCGAGTCCATCGATTTTCCTGCAAATTCCTATATGCGTTCTCCCTGTCTCTCGTCCGTCTTCTTGTTTAAACAGTGTCTTCATTTCGTAGGCGACTGCACCACCGCGTGCGGCACGCATTGTATCGAAAACTGTTTCTCTCTCTCTCTCTCACTCTCTCTACATGTAGCTTCGGTTCCAGTCCTCTCCTCTTGTCTGACGAAATAAAAAAAAAGGAGGAAAAAACAATCGGCCGCGCCGACATCGCAGGTTTTTTATCCCATCCAATATTTGCAGTTTGCCAAAAATCAAGAGGTAAAAATATACTACGTTATAGCTATGGAGAGCGAGGTACCGTATATGAGTGTGGGACGACGTGACGGCGGGTCGCTGCTTTTTAACAAATCGATGCGATAGTCAGTACTATATATCGGCCCGGTATGTCGTATAAGGTATTACTAACAAGCGGCGCGCGGCGCATCCACCCGCTCGTCGACGTCGACGACGACAATCGTTATTCGCAGCTCTACTCGGCATTATAAATCCGTATGAAAAATGACGCGGTTTCTAGCTCTGCTGTGCACAAATCGGATATATTATGGCATTTCGGCATGGATGGACTACTTTTTCCCGACGACGACGACTTGCCCCATGACGATTGGGATTCGTACATTATGGTGCCCTAACACGCGTGCGCCCGCGCGATCGTTATAGAATTTCGTCGAGCGTGAATCCCGACGCAATATAGAGGCAGCAGACTCATACTTGGCGAATTTGACTACATTTACTAGATCGGTACGCGGAATCCAATGATCCTAAATATGTTTCGATGAAGTAGCTACAAGAGCGTGGAGCGAGTTTCGCGACGATCTTTATTTTTTCAAATTACCATCCCGCGACAGCATGATTCCAATTTCGATCTGCTCGGCGGCAGCTTCCGCGACTCGAGTTCGTTAGTCTCGTCATGATAGGCATTACGTACAAGACGAGGCACCACACGCACCCTCGACGAGTCAACTTTAAGCGCGGATGATTTCTACGTAGCACAATTTTTAGCATCTCATTCTCGGTCTCTGCATCGGTATATATAAGAATGATGAAACGCGGGGGAAGCGTAGCAAAAATCTGAGCGTAGGAGGAGTGCAGAATCTTGGTGTCTCGCGCGAGGTGCCTCCTGTGCACTACACTCGACTTGGGCGGACGTGCGAGCGTCGTCGTCGTCGCTCGGGATTATATTACCGTGTATTATTGTGCCGAGCTGTTGCGGCACGCGCGACCTCCAAAGGACAATTTGCTCGTAATTTTCGACTCGGTGCTCGCTCGGCGCGCGCGTATACCTGGTGTGGCGTTATACACCTACGCGCGAGCGCGACAAGCCCTGCGACTCGACGAACACGAGAATATGCGAGAGAGAATATTATAAAGAAAAGAAAAGTGTGTGCCTGCTGCTGGTGCTGCGTTTACGCTACGGTGCACATTCTTTCTGAACTGAAATTCGCAAACGAGGTCTTGCATATCCCCTTATTTATGTCTTTGTATACGTGAAGGATCTGTTTATTATGTCGCGCGTGGTATATAATATGTATATGTGCCTTACGTACGGTCGCCTTGAAGTCGCATTATTTCGCGCGCGGAGAGGAAGGATGGATGCTGCGGCGCGACGCTCGTGCCGTTGTTGAATTGCGTGCGTGGAAAAAATAAAAAATAAAATCTGCCGTCTCGATGATAATTTAATATAGAGGCCGGTCCTCCACTTGGAGCCACAATGTCCCAGAGCGCTGACCTAAGACAATGTGCTGCCCCCGCACATTATGCAAAAACATTCGTAAACGTGATACGTGACTTTTTTTTACCTTAAAATCCCTTGAGCTCGTGAATTTTAATAAGAATTTTCAAGAATTAATCTTTTTTTCTCTCTTTCTGTCTACGAGTTTCAA